GGAACATGCCTAATGGATTGGGCTTCAAACCAAAGGGAGCCAGAGCAGGTGGCAGTGTCCCCTGTTTTGGTGGTGGAAGACTTATTGTTTTTTTAAATCACCAGTTTGCTTCAGTACCCTTAGCTCTTTAAACTGTGAAACCCATTTCAGTACCAGAAAAAGGTAAAATAAAGGTCAGGTCCAGGACAGGGCTCTCCCCAACAGTCTTGGCAGAGAAGACCAAGGCAAAGAAATCTTTAGCTTTGCACCGAAGTCTTTTTCTTCCTTGATTGTTCCCTTTATGCCCTAGTGATCCAGAAGACCTACCATGTCTTTCACAGGCTTCCTAATTCTGATTCATTTGAACTAATTATTGTTGTACACCTTTAGCTATTTACTTTTCAAAATCCACTTTTGCCTTTCTAAGTCATCTAACTTAACTCTGCCTGAGGTAATCCATAGTCTTGCTTATTGACTTTATTAAGGTTAGGGTTAACACATAAAAACATGTTAGTGGCACAATAAAAACTCATTAATTCAATATTGGATAGTTCAAAGTGTTGGTTACCTTGAAGCTATTATCCCTCCCCAGCCAAAAGGATAGATTTTTTCATATGCCTTACTGTATGGATAATTTGAAATACATCTACTTTGAAATTCAAAGTTGTTTTCTGGTCCTTTGGACCAAGAAACCTTGTTAATTCAAAATGTAGGGAACCAAAGTACTGACTGGAATATTATAAATGGGTTTGAAATATGCAGATTGTAATTTGTGGACCTTACCAGTTGATTAAAAACAAAGAGAGGAGTTATCCCAGTGACTAGTTAGGCAGATTTCGTGGGATGTAGCACAGGGCCGCAGCTACGTGAGACACTGTCTGCAGAGTCGTTACTGTGCTGTCATTTAGTACTTACATAAACAAGTAGTAAATGGCTGTGTAGTAACTGGAGTTACTGCACAGTAGCAGTGCTGAACAGCTTTTAGGTGAGGCTGATTGTGCAGTAGCTCATTACTACTGCGCAGTAGCATTGCATCATGCTTCATGCCACATGACGCTGCTGTGCAGTAGTAATGAGCTACCACGTAGTCAGTGTCTCGTTAGGTGCAGATGAGTTCCTGATGTAGACCAGCAGCAATGATCTAGGAGAACTTTTTCTTTTGCTTAGATCAATCTGTGCAGAACTGTCTCACCAACCCTCCCTCCTCACAGACCCACCATCCCTAATTTCATGAAACCTGTCATCCCCAATCCTACAAAACGGCCCCTGATCCCACCAACCTCTGATCCTTCCCTGATCGTGCATGTAGCTGGGGATGCTGCCCCCACCTCCTGCGCCTGTCCCCTGACTGACGCTTGCTGTCCTGAGCCCTGGCTGCTCAGTGTGCTCCTACTCCTTTGGGATCCACACTTTGATCTGTACAGAAGAAAAAGGGTCCCTAGATCATTACTACTGGTCTACATTAGGAACTCCTTGCGCTACATCCCATGAAATCTGCTTAATTGGATAACTCCTCACTTTGTTCTTATCAGCATGTAGCAGAATTAAGTATGTATGTACCCACAGTAATTTGCATCCTGCAGTTACTATTGGTATATTTATTTCAAAGTTGGTATTTTTTGGTCCCCTCCATTTCAACTTAACAAGGTTTTACTCTTAAGAGATTTCTAGACTCCATAAAAATGTAAGTGCCATACTGAGTCAAACCTCAGGTCTGTCAACCCTAGTACTGTCTACCTTGATGTGGCACAGTGAAGACCCTGATCCTTTTAGCTTTGGCAGCACAAGAGTTTCAAAGAGAGGCCAGAGACTGGATTCTTGAAGCTAATAGTGTGAATCATTGTCTTGCAAGAGTGAATGGGGCATGCTTATTGAGGTCTATTGTGTTGCTTTTTATTTTATTTTTCCTAGGCTAGGAACATGTTGCATTTGTCCTGGGAAGTTGTGCCTGTATTTGTCCCAGGACAGTAAGGTCCTGGGATTGGCACGTACATGTATTGCCCTTCTAATGGGGGTTTAGATGCATTGCCACTTTTTTGTCATTGATTCAATGATGCAGTTCTGGGATAACTGTTCACACACACACTTTGCAATGTTCAGGGACAAACTATTAGCACTTTTTATCCTGTGAATCTTTAGGATTGTCTGATTTGTCCCAGGACAAAAGATGCAGATATATGAATGACTGCACTTTGTCCTGGGAGAAAATGGTTTCTCCTGTGACAAATGGGACATCTGTTTATAGTCCCAGTGTCCTATAAAGTTTATTTAATACAGACATACAGGAAATTGCACTACACAAACTACTGTACCTTCCTCCTTGTGGAGGTGATCATGTACAATAGTCATGGAACAGCTGCATCTCAAATTACCTAGCATCATCACCTTGCAGATCCACACCTGCGGCTGTCTTCACCAGGTTTCAGTAAAACCTATTTTAAATCAAGTTCCACGACAAGGTACTGGAATCAGTGTAGTGATTCCTTTGCAAGGTGTGGCTCAGGCCCCTGGTTTTCAGATTAAACCTGTATAGCTGCACAATATTTCTGGTAAACTGCTTCTCTCTGCACTTGTGTCTGTAGCCATAGCTGTAAGAAATCACACTCAGCCCCTCCCCTTCCTTCCTTTCTGTGAGTCAATGGTGAAGGAGAGAGCTGGTCCCCAGCCTGAAATTCTCCCTCCTGTGTCTCCTTCCCCCAGTCCTGCGCTCATCTCATTTCTCTCTCACTGAAGCGGGGGACATGCTGTGTTGCGCACATTAGGTAAGGAAGCTGCTGTTGTGGTGCTTGTTGGAGACAGGTGGTGTTACAGCTTAGTTTACATTCACTGGGATACAGGTTGCAATATCTGCTTAGGGTGGATTAAAAGAACTAGCCTGTATTACCTGCTTCCTTCAGGTCCAGGTCCTGGCAGCAGGCTAACACTGCCTGGGCTGCTGTTGGACGGGCAGAATGGGGGTGTTGGAGCTGAGCTAGCAGTGTGTATGCAGGAAAAATTGGACTCCTAAAGTCACATTTCAGCATGAAAATATTAGTAGTCTGACTCCCAAGGGAGCATGGCACCAAAACTTCAATTCACTTTCATAGGACTTGGGGGTGCTCAGCATGTCTGAAATGTCAGCCAGTTTCTACTGGGAATCTGTCAATGGGTTTAGGTCTCTCAGGTCCTCTGTGGGTGCTGTGGGAATGAATGTAGTTATACCTGAAATACATAGTCACCTGGAAGGATGTTTGTAAGTGCTTTTGGTTCCTAGGCATCTGAGAAAGCTTCATATTAAATTTTTGCTATTGGCTGGCTTGGGGGAGAGGTTTTGAAGTAGCAGGGCTGCCCATCTAGCCTCCCACAGGCTGCATGGGGCTAGCAAGCACTTCACATCTAAGCCCACAGGCTCCTGCTGCCATGCGGCCACAGTGGGGCAGGGGTGGGGGGTTGTGTGCCACCTGGGGAGGGAGTCTGCATGCCACCTACAGGAGGTGGGGAGGCCACATACTGCTGGTGCAGACATGTGGGAGTCATGGGAGGGCTGGGGACACCCCTACAGCATGTGGCCTGTGCTGTGTGGGGCTCACAAACCACATGCGAGTGCTGCCTGTGACCACCAGTTACACCAAATTTGGATAGCTGAAGTACAGTATGTCCATAGACTTGCTTGGGTGCCTACTTGAGGGCTGCATAGTGACATGGCAGCTGAGTCTCCAAACACAATATACCCGTGTGCTCTTATATTTGCTTTGGTCTGTGCCTGGTGCGGCACTGGCTCTTTCCTCAGCTTCATTAGAGAGCTGCTAAAATGTTTTTGTCTATTTACTCCTTCGTGGACAAGCAACGAGACTACCGAGTTGCCTTATGCCCCTGGAAACAGGACAGATACTCAAAATACTCCAAGGAGCTTAAGCAGACTCTCCCAGAGCTTTCCCCTTGTCGGCACTAGTTTACCTATTCAGGATACTGGATCAGGAACACAAGCTTTATTATGGTTCCATAAAACCTATCAATCCCTACATCAGCTAACTCAGGAGATTTATGGATGCAGGTAAAATAATAGACACCTACCTATTTCCCTACTTCGGTTTCCTCACCTACTGAACTGGTCTTTGGGTGTGGATCAGGGCCCACTCAGATTCTCTTCCTGCTTATCATGGCTTTGCCTACAAATCATGGAGTGTCCTGCTCCTGCAGGCAACTTCCTACATTTAGTTTCTTCTCTCTCACTAAAATTGTTGGTTAAAATGCCTGGTGAGATGCCTTCATTTTTACGACCTCATTTGTCTGGTGATTGAAGTCCCCTGACAGTCGATCTGTTATGTGGTTACCAGACCACTTAGTAGAATAAAATGCACTGGTTTGGCCACCTTCATTAGTAAAGCCATTTTTGAGCATGTAGACAAGGGGTAGACAATTATTTTAGCTGGAGGGCCGCTTACCAAGATTTGGTGAGCTGTTGAGAGCCGCATGGGTAGCCCCACCCCTTGATGGGAGCCCTGCCCCCTGGTCACCAACTTGGAACCAAAGTCCCACCCCCTAACCTCTGACCTTTGCCACCGGAAGTCCCTCTCTTTGTCCCAGAAGTACTTCTTTTGGGAGAGAGGGTGTTGCCATCTTGAAATCAGGGGGGAAAAAAATCATATACTAAAAAAAAATCAAACATCTACTATAACTTATTTTAATTTTATTTTTAAAAAAATTGTCCAGATTTATGTGTGTTTGCATAGTGTATTTAGAGGTGACTGTATAATAGCTCAAGATAAAGTCTTACTCGTGTACATTGTGGGGTGGAGGGGGCGGGTAAGGGGATGCATGGGGGTGGTTGGGGAGTGGTTGTATGTGGGGGGTGTGGTATGGGTATGCTGGGTGGGGTATGTTGGGGAGAGTGGGGGGTGGATGTGGAAGGGTGTAGATGTTGGGTATGTGGTCAGGGTGGGGGCTATGGAAAGATTGGGAGTGGGAATGGGTGGGAGGGTGTGTTTGGTGGTATGGTGTGGGTGGGGGGCTGTGGGAGGGTGTGGGTGTGTTGGGGTTGGGGGTGGAAGTGAGCATGGGTGTGTTTGGGCGGTGGGGTGGGGGTGTGCAGGGGGTCCTCAGACTCCCTGGAGCGTGCCAGGCCCTGGATCTGCATGTGGTGGCAACGAGCAGAGCCAGCCTCACCCAGATCCATAGCGCACAGCTCCCCATGCTCCCACCCCGGCCACAGGTGGTGGCAGCACATGGAGCCAGGCTCACCCAGCCCAAAGTACTCCTGCCCAAGTCTCCGGCCACACATGGTGGCAAGGTGCAGGCCCCATAGCACTCCCACCAAAATCCCTGGCTGCACATGGTGGCAGCATGTGGGGTGTGGGGCTAGCCTGACTCGGCCCCATAGCATGCAACTCCTACAGTGTGTGGGGCCCGCCCAGCCTGGCTCCATAGCACATGGCTCCCTGCTCTCCCATCCCTCTCCCCCGGTGGGAGACCCTGATGGGGCCTGTACCTGAATTCTTGCTCTTGCAGGCAGGCAGGCTGGGAACAGCCACAGAGCAGCCAGGCACAAGCTCTGCCAGGCAGTGCCCATGGCTCAGGGCTGGGGCAGGTCAGGCCAGGCTGGGGTCAGGGGGGTGGTTGCTTAACCACCTGAGCTGCACCTCCTGTGTGGAGGCACCGGCTTGCAGAGGGGCAGCCCAGGACCAGGGCTTGCAGAGGGCTTATGGAAGGTCCCCGCAAGGCAGATGGAATTGCCTGGCGGACCCCATCTGGCCCACGGGCCATATTTTGCCCACCCCTGATGTAGACCAATTTAAATGTCAGCTGTCTATTCAAGCCAGACAAGGCTACTTGACACATGCTACTTATGACCTATGCCTGACTCCTAGCAAGTGTGTGTATGCAAAGAATTTAACCCCTTGAAGTCAGATCTGTATAAAAATCATGCATGTAAGCAGGGCCATTAACCCTTTAGTGACCCCATGGCAAACAAATTCATGGACCCCTACTTTTTCACTCAGTAATTATAGCATGTAAAATAAGCACAGGTGGGCCTCTTCTTCGCTTAGGGCCTGAGGCATGTGCCTAGTTTGCCTATGTGTTAATCTGGCCCTGCTGGTAAGGTAACGCACAATATTTAAAAAATAGTGGAGAAACCACTCACATTCCCCACATAGAGTTGTTCAGGACTGGAGATGTGAGGGGAGCATGGGCAGGGAAAGAAGAGATTTGTGGAAGGGGTTAAAGTTTTAATCTCACCTTCCCCTGTCCATCTGACAACCATCTTCCCTGTCCTTTGGGAACACTTAGGACTCTTATGGGGACCCAGTTCCATAGCTTGTCAATCCTAGCAGTGTCCTAAACCACTCATCAGATCACACAGCAAGACTCATTGTTCCCTCAGACTTGTCCTTGAGTAGCAGTTGTTTTTCTCTATTCTCACATCACCTGTTTTCCTGGTTCTTGTTAATGGGATGCTTTGGGCAGAGTGAGGGCAGAAGTGCATGGACAGGAGGCCTGCGTGTGTGATACGCTTGAGTTGCAGACTATTTTTATGGGTGCACGCGATGCTTATGTTTCCAATACTGCAGAGCTCCTAAGTTTTATAACTTCACTTGGCATGTATTTGTAGCAGTTCTGTGGTAATTTATGAACTGTTTTTGACCTGGCATGTTTTTGGAGTGCTTTCTGTTGGACTACATACTGTATATTTAGGTTAATACAGGGCAATCAAAATATATAAAGAGGCTGGAGAAGGGCTTTTCTCTGTGGTCAAAGGGAAAGGACTATAAGCAATGGCCTCAAAGTGCAGCAGAGGAAATTCAGGTTGGAGATTAGGAGGGACTTTCTGACTATTAGGGAAGGTGGTCAAACATACTTCTATAGGTGTCCTATTGATACCCCTAGAAGTCGTGGAATCTCCATCGCTGGAAATGTTCAAGGCAGGCTGGGAGATGCTTGGCTGGAATGGGTAGCAGAAGGCAGGGTAGATTTGCACTTTACAGACTAACCAAAGTAGATATATAATTACATCTCTCTGGGATGGTTTTAGTCAGGGATGATCCTGCCTTGAGCAGGGGGCTGGATTAGATGATGCTGTGAGGTCATTTCTAGCCCTACTTTCCTAAGATCCTATTAAAAATAAGCCACCCAAAATAAGCAACGAACACAAAGAGTTGCTAAGACAATACTAGACTTACTTTGATGATTTTACCTCCAGTTCTAACCAACCAAAAGAACTGATTTTGATGACAGGGGCTGACACACTAGAACTTGAGCACACAGAAAAGCATGGTCAGTTTAAAAATAATTCGCTTTCAAGAGGGGGCAATTTGGGGGAACTAGAACAAGGCACAGATACACACTGGGGTTTTCTACAGTCAGATCTTTCTAGTTTTAGGTAAAATAGACTGTAGACTGTTGTTTTTAAACAGTCTGCAGCTTTTCTAAATGCTGTGCTCCTTGTGCAATATAAACAAGATTTTGTTTTTAAGGAGGCTGATTAATCATTTTATACATTTTGCCACAGAATGCCAAAGAATGGCAGTAAAGAGACCACTATCCTTATTCTTGTCAACTCAGCCAAGGAATTAAGTCTGAACGTCTTTCTTGAAAACTTTCTGTTTTAGTAAAGAAAATGAATCTCCCTTGTCAATGCAACAGCATTGTAATGCTCTTATTAAGCCTGTAGTTTCAGCAAGCAAGTGCCAAGGTAAGATTGAATATGACTTTTAATATAAACATAAGAAAAAAGCATTTGCTTGTTGGAACAAATTAATGAAAAATGGTAATTTTGCTGACTTATTTTCTGCCTTTCAATGTTGGCAAGACCTAATAATAAAATAAAACAGAATAATGGTTAGTACTTAGTTTAACTCACACTTTTCATTGATAGATTTTAAATGGCTTCACAAGGATGGATACAAGTTATAGTTCCTATCGTGCAACTGGGGAATTGTAAAGCACTGAGAGGCAATATGACTTGTTTATAAGTGGCACAGCTGTAAAGAGAAATCAGCCTTCCAGATGCCCAGTCCAGTGCCAGAACAAAATAGCTGTTCTCTATATCAAGAAAAATACATAATTTGCACCCATTCAGCTTAGCCTGCTTGAAGGGTAACTAGGTCTCATGTAGAAGTTCATATGCAAATGATACAGCCACATAGGCAATGATATAGATGTTCCCTGGCTGGCTTCCTGGCAGTACCAGTCTAACCTGGGACCTCTGGACTTTAAAGCATGAACCTTTGTTGCCTAAAACTAAAAGAGTCAGCCATGTTAGCCAACTCATGAATCTGTGTTTGCCCAGACTCCACCAGAGGGAAATGAAGGCCTCACCAAGAAGATATGAAATAAAAGTATCTGATGTATTAAACTTGATTGGTGAATGCTTCATTTATACAGCTTTTCCCTTGTCCTCTTAGAAATCCAGTTTAAAGGGAGGGACTCATTTAATTTTAATCTGTTTTGCTGTTGAATGAATGAAACAGCATCTATGAGTTAAGTACTGTAGTGCTTGTGTTTAGGTTTGACTAAAATGAACACTATACAATTACTTTGCAGAAGGTGACTCAAGAGACTGTTCAAGGTATGACATCTGAATACATCTTTTTGCCACTAATCTTTTGTTAATGAAAATGTTTATCATTTACAAAGTGATACTAATTTATCAAATTAAATACAATAATTTAACAATACATTTTGGAATGTAAACTTTGCAAAACATAGGGTAAGGTTTTTGTTTTTATGGTATGGATCATGAATAAATTATGTACTAAAGTACCCATTGTTGGGACAGCTGTGTGTAGCAATGACCTCATCCAAAGCTTATTGAAATTAATAGGAGGTTACCATGCCTGGTTACTCGCAACTGGAGTAAATTTCAAAAGCTAGATTTTTTTTGTAGACTTGAAATGTAAGAAATGTAAACTAACGTTAAAAATGGTTGGCTAAAATTTAGGTGCGTAGGATAAACAGTCTGAATTTCAGAATAGCATAACATTCAGTTTTAGCTGAATTCTCAAATTGTAGGTATTCTGATTAGAAAACTTTGGTCAGAATATTTAAACTTTAGTTCTGACAGCTAAAACTTCTCAGTTTATCCCAGCCATTATAATAGTTAAGTGTAATGCAGATAATATACACGTAGCTTACAAAAAGGAGAGAAACGCATATCTTTAATGAATATATGTGTATGTGCACACACTTTTTGTTGCATCATTTGTACTGAATATACCTAAGGTTCCAGATCATATATACTGTACCTACTTTGTTCACTAATCCTGTTGTGTTTAGATCCTGAAGTCCTAAACATGTGTTTAGATCCTGTAAGTCAAAAAATGCTTTCGGTGAAAAGAGATTAAACAACAAAGCTGCTCAGGAAACAATTTGTTTTCCTGTGAGAATTTTGATAAACCTAAACATTTTTTCCTTTTTTAAAAATGTACTCTGTGCTTTTTCATGAAAAGCCAAAAATGCTGAAAATAAAAAAGGTTCAGATTGTCTAGGAAACCTTCCTTTTTATTTGACAAAAACGGATTTTTGAACATAAACATTTCCATTCAGCTCAAAAGCCATATTACATATACTGAAGAAAATTTTCAGTGAAAAACATTTGACCAGCTCTAATAAAAATGTTAGTGTGATGCACCCTCTTCTCCTGTCTGAAATTCAGAACTGTAATTCTTTCTTTTAACTAAAGGAGGTGACTGTACAGAAATATTTGCAAAAAATATGAATGCTGAAAGTGGTGTTTATCTGATAAAACCAGAAAAAACTGCCAAACCATTTAAGGTAAGTTGTTATTTCTAGCATTTCTGCTGTTTCACACGTACTATACTGTTGGAGCTATACATATAATAGACAGGTACCATCTTGTAGTTAGGCATTGATGGAATGCTTAGCTGCCATAATAATTGGGCACTTTAGAGACAGACACCCGATGGGGAAGTCTGTTCTTCTGAAAATCACTTCATACTCACATTCTCAGTCCAGACCATCCACTTCTTTTTTATGTCCTTCGATAGCCACTGTCACAACTATCTAACCTATCCTGTTGAAAAATCCTTATAGAGAATGGGGACAGCAGACCTGTTATATGCACCACAACAGGAAAATGTTGTTTAGAATGAAATGTTTCACCACTTCTAAGCAAGTTCAGTACTTTAACTTTTTTCTGATTCTACATAAAAATAAATGTTAACATTTCAGAGTTTTCTATGGGAAGATTTCTCATTCAATTTTAGTAGAGCATGGGCATTGGTATAATTTAGTGGCAAAACACTAAACTAAAGAGAATGGAAAATGCACATTTTGCTTGGCAAAGGCCTTTTGACGAAATTTAAACAGTTACAAACAGATTAGGGTTGACGAGCACAGGGCTGGGTTTAGTGCAGCCTGAAGCACAAAGTTGTTCATGATGAGAAGCTCTTTTTCACTGAATAGGCGCATTTTTTTTTTGCATTTGCTGTTTCTTATTTATTATTGCTCAAGGCTGCATTTGGTCTCAACTGTACCTAATATAACCAAGCTCTGCAAAAATCTACATCCTGTGACTGCTCATTTCTTCCTCGAAAAGAAAACAGGAAAAGAGGGAGGAAAAAACTAGATAAGCCCAAAGTTTGCTGGCTAGATGACATGGCAAACCTTTGTTACAGGATGTTTTAAAAAGCTTTTGTTCTAGCATCCTGTCAATGTAAACCTTGAGTTGAATTATGCTAGCTCCTGGCTGGGTAGAATTATCAGGCAAATGAGTGCAGGGTTGATTCCTCTATTTCTAATAGGGTTTGCAAAGCACATTAAAAATGTATATACATATATATTAAGTGCTGTGTAATCTGCAACAAAGTTACCTCAGCTGCAGCCTTTGCTTTGTAGGCTTTCTGTGAAAAGTGTGAAGATGGAGGATGGACTGTTTTTCAGAGGCACGATGGGAAGGGTGAGGATGGTCAGCCAGTGAATTTTATGAAGGCCTGGCGAAGCTATAAAAGAGGATTTGGACATGTTGAGTGTAAGTAAAAAGACTGCTGTTGCCAGAAACTGCATTTAAAACTAAGTCTTAAAGTTAAGCCTAAAAAATCTAATGTCTAACATAAGTTATAGTTTTTAAGGTCGGCCTACATTGTAGGTACAGAAGTGACTTTTCTGCCTTTGGATGCATAAATTATCACCAAATATCAAGTATTTCCCTTGGGAGGACCCTTAAATTTCACCTCAGGTGAGGTCTTTGCACACTCCCATCTTTTATTTCAGTATCCCAAGTTGTGATTCACTGGACATGTCTACATGTGTGCCTGACCATGCAGTAATCACCAGCACTGTGCAGTCCTGGCACTGCACAGGTTGTTTCTGACCTTACCACGCAGTAGCGACGGCATCATGGTTTGTGTCTGCTGATACTACATCACTGTAATGACGAGCTATACCATGGCTTGTTGCTATGGTGATGTAGCATCTCATGTAGACATGCCCACTGTAGAATACCCTACTGGCTTGTGTATTTTTAGGGAGAACAAGTGTGTGTGGGGTAGAGTGATTAAGATATTTTGCCTCAGAGCCAGAAATATGAGTTTAAGCCTTGCTTTGGACTTATGCTAACATCTGCCTTTGGTCAGCTCATCAGTAGGTGTTTACCGGGTCATCAAACTGAGGAACCAAAAGTGGCTACTAGCCACGTCATTCCCCTGTGTGCCATTGACTATAGACATCAGCATGAGCTAACTCTTATAGTTTGACGAGCCACCTAGGTTTGGGGTAAGGGAGGAATTTCTTTGAATCCTTTTTTAATGTGTCTTTATTCTCTAGACACTATTAGAATGATAAGAAAAACACTTCCCCAGCCACATATGCAATTTGGGGCTCAGGAACTGTGTTTACTAACTATATACAAACATGCAAGGTCTAACTAGGTATGCACCAAGTGGTTCTGTTAGCTTGTTGTATTAGGTTGTTCTGCAGCGGAAGCCAGGACTCCCACTACTGGGCTCCTCAAACTTTATATTGTGTTCTTGTTAGCATACTGACAGTACATTGCTACCTTTGAATAATATAATTAGGCAAAATGTTGAGATGCACCTTATAGACATAAATCAGCTGGATTCATTATTATTGTTAATCCAAAGATGCATCTCTCTTTACCCTGCTTTCTGCCTGACTTCAAACTAACATGGTTATTATGTCTCTGCTCATAATTTAATTAGGATATGTTAATCACATTCCACATTACTGGAAGCTGTTTAGATGCTATATTAGTGGTATAAGATGCCCTCCCTTGTATAGTATAAAGATGCCCTAATTATATAGAAAGGAAAATGCACAGACATCATCACTGATATGAACTATTTCTCCCAGATGAACACTGGCTAGGACTTGACAATATTTATACCCTGAGCCGGCAGGCAGGCAAAACATGCTAGCTATGAGTGGACATGAAGAACTGCAAAGAAGAGCATGCCTATGCACTATATGCTACTTTCACAATTGGCAATGAAAGTGAATTGTACCAAATTTCTCCAGGAAACTTCACAGGAAATGTAGGTAAGTGCCCCAGGAAATCAAAGTGCTTTTAATGATTTAAACTTACGTCTACCTTGTTTCGGAGCTACAGCACGGTTTTCAAAAGCACACACCTGCCAATTATGAGTATGATAAACTCCTAAGCTTGAGTACCAGTTGCAGTCCAGCCCACCTTTGGAAGCTGTGCTGATCTCCCAGCACCTCTCTTCACCTCCTAGCCCATCTCCTTTTGCAGTATGCTTAGAATTTACATGAGTCTCAAGCACAGAAAGTCCAACAACAGCAATCCTACAGTTTTGTTTCTGTACTCACTTCGTGCTCTCTATTGTCCATAAATACAGATAATCCTAGAAAGGGAGACAAGTAGTCCTAGACAAGCTGTGCAAGGCCTAATAGTAATATTGTCTGGTATCCCATGGCACCCTCAAAAGGATCTCATATCACCGTGGCTGAGAATCACCGAGGTCAGGTATAGATGGAAACAGGTATGTGGCTTAGGCTTGTTGAGAGTGTTGAGTTAAATATACCCTAAAGGGGCCTTAAAAAGTTTCTGACAGATAACAGAGCATTAAACTATTTTCTCCCCTATTATTTGACCAACTTCCAACTTTTACACATGTATTACACTTCTCAATGAGCAAACTAATAGTTCCCAAGTCCATTCTCTGCCCCTGCCTCAAAATGGACACACACCAGGATTCAGCCAAGTCACTCAGAAATGAACCATCTTGTTTTGAATTCTGTTTTTGGGGAGGGGGAGTTTGGGGGGGGTGGCAGGGAAAGGAAATATTTAAGGTAGTAGAAAGCTCTGAATGGGGATACCCCCACATGCCCCTCTGGCCTGCTGCACTAGTGAAATACATGAAAGACTGCCATGGTCTTCAGTGCAAGAAGCAAAATTGTTTTGATGGTATCTTTCAGTGAATGGGTGGCAACCTATGGCCACATTTGGCCCACAGATGTGGGGCTTTGGCAGCATTCAGCGGTTGGGGGGTGAGGGGCTAGGCCTTCAGTAGTCTCTGACCCCTGCCACCACAGGGAAAAGCACTAGTGCAGGGAGGGGGGAGTAGTGCTCCTACCTACCTGCCCTGCCTCTAACCCAAACTGGGTCACTCCAGTCCACAATCTTTAAAGGTTGCCAACCACTGTTTTAATGAACCAACTGCAGAGCTGGGGAAGATGTTAGATAAACTTTTGGCACAAAGTGCCCTTCATCAGGTCTGGGAAAGAAATAAAACACAGCCTAAAGTAAATACCAGATAAAACAATGGCTTGTGTTTGATTCCGTATATAAAAGAGAACAGGCACTTAAGGGAGTGGTAGAGGGCTGTAGAACTAGTAACAAAGAAGTACATTAAAAAACTGGAGACAAAAAAGACCATGCTTTCCCCTTCTCCCACTTCTACTTTGGTGACTTGGGTTTTGTACATCTGGTTTTTTACAAATTAATAAAGGGAAGTAATGACTGCTGCTTAACCGAAGCCCCTCCTGTAGGATATGGTACCAGAGCAGTAACCTCCCCTAACAAGTCTACAGTACCTGGATGACGGTGTTTTTTTAGCCTGCCATCCTCACACAAAACAAAACATAGGAGAACATCTCTGATTATGGTCTTGTCTTTAAGAAAAGCCTCCAACTCTCATTCCTTGTGAACCCAAAACTTCCACTCATTTCCCTGGGATTTCCAAGCATACATGGAATACAAAATTGGGCCCTAGTGTTTGTAGGTCACCATGGCTTTTTAAGAAAAATGAAGCAAAATAATTTGCACCTGTGTTCTCATTGGTGATTAACATCTTTTTGAAATGCCAATGAATGCATTTGTTCTGTTCAAGAGATGCATTCAGAGGCACAGAAGAATTTGGGGATCAGAATGGCCAACATTTCACTACCTATGACAGAGACGATGGCTACACTGTATGCATCATTGATCATGAATATGACAACTGTGCCCAGGATGTAGGATATTCTGGGTGGCGGTTCAG